AGGTTCTTGGTTTCCAAACTAACCTGAATTTGCGAAATTATTTACTTTGAGAACATACAAAAATCTCCACAAAACCATACGATCTGGTTTCAAAAATAGCTTCAAAGTGATGGACGAGAGTTCAATCTGAGACAAATAATACCAAATATATATATTTCACCACACTAGAAGTATCGACTGCCTAAAATTAATTCAGAAAGGGTTTTTGTGGATATTTCAGTATTTTCATAGTTGAAATCATGAATCAATTGAAGTTAGACCACCATGGAAAACCTGGAAGCAGTGGACGACCGTTTCGTCCTTAAATTAATTACTTGTCTTATTTGTAGTTTGTTAATAACATCTGGAATTAACAAATGTGTTCTAACGAAAATATATTAAACAGAAGATGGAATGTGAAACCATATCATACTTTGCATGAAAAAAGATTAAGTAAAGAAACTGTGTTATTGTCCCTTCACTGATTTGTATTACTTACTTACGCCTGTTACCCCTCGTTGAGGAGTATAGGCCGCACACCAGTCTTCTCCATCCAACCCTGTTCTGGGCAATCCTTTCCAGTTGTTATTCATCCTTTTCATATATGCTTCTATTACCCGGCTTAATGTGTTCTTTGGTCTTCCACTTTTCCGCCTCCCCTCCGGATTCCACGTTAGGGATTGCCTTGTAATGCACATTGGTGATTTCCTCAATATATGGCCGACCCGCTTCCAACGTCTTTTCCTAATTTTCTCCTCAGCCGGAAGCTGGTTTATCCTCTCCTTCAGAAGGCTGTTGCTGATGGTGTGCGATCAACAGACATTGAATATTTTGTGTAGACAACTATTTATAAATACTTCTACTTTTTTGATGATAGTTGTAGTAGTTTTCCACGTTTCAGTTTCGTACAGTAGGACTGTCTTCACGTTCGTATTGAAGGTTCTCACTTTGAAATCAGTTGACAGCTGTCTGGAGTTCCATATGTTCTTCAATTGTAGAAATGTGGTCCTTGCTTTGTCAATCCTCGCATTTACGTCTGCATCAGATCTTTCTTGTTCATCAATGATTCTTCCCAGGTAAGTGAATGTTTCTACATCTTCCAGAGTTTCTCCATCAAGTGTGACTGGGTTGGTGTTCTCCGTGTTGTATTGGAGAATCTTGCATTTACCTTTGTGTGTGTGGAGGCCTATTAATGCAGAAACTACTGCTACATTTGTTGTCTTTGTTCGTGTGTATAAGATAGTGGGGCTAGGTCATCTGCAAAGTCTAAATCATCTAATTGATTCTGAGATATCGATTGTATTCTGTGCTTCTCCTCAGATGTCGAAGTCTTCATAATCCAGTCAATCACCAGAAGAAAGAGGAAGGGGAGAGTAGACAGTCTTGTCTGACTCCAGTCCTTACTGGAAATGTATCTGTCAACTGTCCTCCATGCACGACTTTGCACTGTAGTCCGTCGTATGAGTTTTAGATAATGTTGACAATCTTCTCAGGAACTCCATAGTGTCGGAGAAGTTTCCATAATGTTCTCCGGTCCACACTGTCAAACGCCTTCTCATAGTCAATGAAGTTGATGCATAGTAACGAGTTGCATTCAACTGATTGTTCCACGACCATCCGTAGTGTAGCAATTCGGTCTGAGCACGACCGATCCTTATGGTATCCAGCCTGTTGATCTCGAAGTCGAGCGTCTACTGAGTCTTTCATCCGGTTCAGCAAGACTCTGTTGAAAACCTTTCCTGGTATTGACAATCGTGTGATGTCTCTGTAGTTCTTACATTTGCCCAGATCTCCTTTCCTTGGTATCTAGACGAGGTATCTTTCTTTCCAGTCCATTGGCACTTGTTCCTCTTCCCAAATCTTCTTGAGTAGAAGGTGAAGCATGTTTGCAGTTACTTCAATGTCTGACTTCAGCTGGTATATTGGCTTTGGATTCAAGTAAATGAGTTGCAATTAAGACACACTTATTGGTTAGAACCCTATCACTAGTGGCAAACCATCATCGACTAGATAGAAGGATTGTTGTAGTAATAAAAACGGGTTGTTGAAAAAAAGACTCCGACTCATTATACATGTTCATATCATCTTTGTTATTCTTACCATTACTACCACTACTCAACTACTGATTCTTATTGATAAGTCCGTAATCTACTTCAATGACTGGTAAAAGGCCTTGATTGCTTTAATAAATTATTTGTGTGGAAAACGTACCTGTATTTCATAGTAACTCCTCAGTGTCTGATTGAAAGCAAAAATGTCTGCTTACATGTCTTTTTCCTTCAAACAATCACTAGTTTTGTCATGACCTTATGAAATATCATCATCATCATCATCATCATCATCATCATCATCATCATCATCATCATCATCATCATCATCATCATCATCATCATCATCATCATCATCATCATCATCATCATCATCATCATCATCATCATCATCATCATCATCATCATCATCATCATCATCATCATCATCATCATCATCATCATCATCATCATCATCATCATCATCATCATCATCATCATCATCATCATCATCATCATCATCATCATCATCATCATCATCATCATCATCATCATCATCATCATCATCATCATCATCATCATCATCATCATCATCATCATCATCATCATCATCATCATCATCATCATCATCATCATCATCATCATCATCATCATCATCATCATCATCATCATCATCATCATCATCATCATCATCATCATCATCATCATCATCATCATCATCATCATCATCATCATCATCATCATCATCATCATCATCATCATCATCGAACTATTGTCTTACACAGCCTAATGGTCAAACTTGGTCAATAAATCCTTAAAGCGTCATCAGTATCTGTCACCAGCGAGTTGATTTAACTTCAATCTGATGATCAGTTTGTGTAACACAATTAATAATCAACAATTACATAACTCTCACTATAAATCAAACAGCGAAAGTAAGATTGTCGAGAAAAGTGACCATGAAATAGTATTAGCCAAGAAATCATCAACAAGAACGCTTTTCCTCAACATTCTAATCAGTGGAAAATGTTAACAGTTCCAAATTAGTCGATATTTATACGTTACTACAAATGAAGTTGTATGAATTTATTGAAGAATAGAACATTTTTATATGAATTTTTCCGTATATTAATTATTAGCTATACATAATTAAAAGTTGTGTTTATTCTAAATAAAACTTACATTAAACCCCATAGCCATGACTTTTTAATAAAATTCTTATTACGTGTTGCGGTGTATGAAGATTTTATTTCCAATGTGATTGTATGTGTATATATAATGGGAGTTAAAACAAGAAAGTAGAGATTATATATATATATATATATATATATATATATATACGGTAAAATAAATCTTTACATCAGCAGAATATAAATGCGTTATAAACAATTATATTAATGATAATAAAGGATAAACAAGATGAGAATCTAAAAGAATATGATTTAAAAGTACTACGAAAAGATACATTACAAAGTAGGAATGAATCAATAGATGAGTGGTAGTAGTAGTAGTAGTAGCAGTAAAAAGGCGCTACACAATAAGTCTGGAAAAAAGAAAATCAAAAGTTTAGCTGAATCGACTATCAAACAAAAAAGGTCGACAAGAAAGATTGCGATTGTTGTTTATCCATGTTAATTATATTGAAAGCGAAAACGATAATAATGCGCTATATATATATATATATATATATATATATATATATATATATATACCTTTCGATGTCGATTTACAGTTCACTAGCTTATTAGTTATTACAAAGCAATAATCGTTGGTAGAATAAAAGTCGAATCCAAGATTCTTATTATGGAGACAACAGCGGAAAAAGGCAACACAAAAGTTGGAAGGTATTTAACAACAAACAGTAATCACAACTAGTAATAATAAAGATCAACAAAAAATCGAATAGGATCGAGGGACCAACCTTCTAGCAATTGAAATATACACAATAAGAAACAAAATAATCTTTGACTAAGAAATGGTAATTTACACAATCATATATATATATGTATATATATATATATATATATATATATATACTCATCAAATAAATTCCAGTGACGAGAAAATGTATAACCTGTCTAATAATCAAAAAACCAGAAGTGAACACTCGTCCCCATTACAAACAACACTACCAACAACAAAATAATGATTATACCCAGTGCCTACGTGTGTATATAAACATAATTTGATTTAGGAAGATTGAAAGAAAACAAAAAAATCAAATGGTTTCAATTGTACAGCTAACTAATAATCTACATTGTCTATATGCCATTAATTTATAGCGGATTAAAATAGTTAACGATAATACTAATAATAACAAGCTCATAACATTCTCCCATACATCTCTTCTTGTTAAATTTTGACAAGTTTTACTCGTTGCTTTCCTTTGTTTTTTTACGCGCCATTACAGAAAAAGCTTAAACAAAATAAAACAAGAGAACAAGATGATTTCGTGACTGGTGAAAAGTGAGAAAAAGGAAGTAAACAGCCTGGAAGAAATACATAGATTATGCTTTTGAGAACTAGTAGTGACGAACAAAGGAAATCAATAAATGTCAATTTATAAGGAAATACATTATCGTTGACTTGAAGAAGTAAACTACGACATTCCTTTAAGTATATCTTTGCCTACTGACACGAATTTGAGGCAAAAAAACAAAAATGAAAGGTGCAGAGAAAAGGGACAGAACGAATATATATATATATATATATATATATATATATATATATATATATATATATAATTTTATTCTTTGACCAAGTGTCGAGATTAGAAGTAAAACTTAACTAAATCGACGAATTTCGCATGATATTACTATTGGCAAAAAAGTATCCTTACTAACATCAATAATAATAAAAACAATAGAAACTGAAGTCAACAGCAATGAAAGGATAGAAACAAATGATTAGATAAATATCTAAACATATTACTTACTTTGTTTATTATAAAATACAGAGATAAAAAGGTTACCTAATAATAATAATAATAATAATAATAATAATAATAATAATAATAATCTATCACATTATAAGATAAATTCAGAAATTGTTGTTACGATGGTCGACATGAATTTGAATGTTTTGTAAAATCAGACAAACACAGTGGTGGGTGGGATACCAAAGAAGTTGGTGAATGACTCAAGGAACTCGATACATAATGTGTATTTTCATCAGTAGTATTATTATCATCATTACTTGTTAGAGAAGTATTCATAATCGTCACTGTCACATGATGATAACACAAGAAAATAATAGAAGTGGAATTTTGAAATAATAAAACTTGAATGTTATGCAACCAAATGAAAATATGAAGAGTGAACGATATTATAAGTATAATTCTAAAAGAAATGCTATCTATTTTATGCAAAGCAGGAGATAATGAATGGTAGTCACTGAAATTTTTGGAATTAATTCTATTAGATTGATTGAAATCATAATTGAAATATTTTGATGACGTTTGATCTGGAACAATCGATGAAAATTCTGCTATCGATGATGAATGATGAACTGACAAAAATCGATGAAGGCAACGATCACGTAAATGACTACATGAGTCATTATCACTAGATTTGTCAACACCAGATGAATATGATAAGACAATATCGGTGGAAGTAGAATACTGTTTCTTATCAGGAATGGATACAGAATGAAGAATTGAATCTGATACACCGAAACAACACTCAGATTCACAAGTATTCACATCCCAATAAACTGCTTGGTATCTTGAACTGTGATGATAATGACTTTCTATATGATAATAAAACAGAATGAAGTACAAATAAGAATTAGGTTAGTGTTAAAAAGAACTTCTTTACAGTGAGTAAAAAAATTTAAAAATAATAACTTCATGGAAAAATTACATCATGGACTAGAATACCACGTAAACACATAAAATACTCCCTTTTGTATGCAGAAGTGATGATAGAAGTTTAAAAAGAAAATGTAAGTTACAGACTTTACACTACTGATCCGATGATTTATATCCTTTGACTGAATTAATTAAGTCTTGACTTCATTTCAATTATCGAATATTGCGTCTAGCTGTTTCAGTAAAACTAAGTTAGGCATAATATTGAAAAATAAAACGAAAGGATAAGTTAATGAAGAGGATCTATCCAGTAATATCAAATACGATAAATAAATTTAACGAACAAGTACGTAAATAGATCTTTTGAGGATTTGATCATTTCTACTACCTTGTAATTCATCAAGGTAATGTTAATTCGCTGTACAGTGTGGTATAACAATCTGGATTGGTGCACATGAGTTAGGTTCTATGTTATCTATGACTAACTATATATAACATAATATTTATGAATAATTTAACTTATACATACTCTATTAATAACCCCAAATTCCGAGCTCAGTTTACCTTCCAAACAATTCCCTGTTCTTTGATAAACAATTCGTAGACTTATTTCACAAAAAATATTATTATTTAATACAAAGTAAACCTATTAGCCTGTATGTAAGTGAAGAAAAAGAAATCCGTCTTATTCTTACTTTGTATAAAAAATGAGTGATTCTACCTTTACATTTATATAACTCCACTGAATTGTTCAATGGGTCTCGAATAGTTACACTAATTACAGGCAATTGAAGATTGTTTATTCCAACGGTTTTAAAGATACAAATAGTGTATATATTGATAAATTTCTTATACAAATATCTTAAAAAACAAAGGTATTTCACTACAGATAAGTTAAAATAGCTTATTAAGTCTTTGACACAGCAGATGAAGTAATAAAAAATGTATGCATGAAACTCGCGTGGTCATGCAAACAAAACCTCATTAAATAAGCAGTAACGACTCTCAAATTTATCATTTATGTTATAAACAGATCTGAATTCATTATAATTTACATACTAATAAGTATATCGGAAAATGTTAAAAAGTAATTGTGTAAAACATATGTGACACACAAAACTCATTTGATTTGTGTGGGGGCTGTGATACTGCCCAGGTGCCCAAACCGAAACAAGTGGTTTTCATAGGGGGCTACAGCCGTAGCCTTCAACATAAAGGTCTGATCCACAAGGCAGTAGAGCATCGTGAGGAGATGCAGTTCCATGGTAGCTGGTGACCAACGATTGATTCATACGCCATTTGTTGCCTCAGGATCCTGGAGCCCATTTTCACCATTGATTTAGAATCAGGGTCTCCAACTCTCCTAGGTGGACCCTCCGTGTCCACCAGCCTGGTCAAAGCGCCGGACATTCGCTTTTCGTCCTCTCAATTTCGTAAAGAACACTTCCGCCGCGAGAAGGCAGTGATTAGGACTTCCTTGGCAGTGGTTATATACGCGTGGCCATGTGAGAGCATTTCGAGAGGGAGAGCGGATTCTCCTCACTCTTGGCCGTACCAGGGCACTTAACGTGTCCATCGGTCTACTGCCATTACAGTACAACATGAAATTGGTTTACCAATCACTAAAATGTTTGAGTGTATAAAACAAAGTAATCGAAAAAAAGTTCACTAGAAAAATAGGATATATATATATATATACAGACAAAATGATAATGGTCAGTTTACATCAAATTCTTTGCACATGGAATTGATTCGCCATTATGAAGTATATGTGATTTTGCAGAAAATCATTTATATTTACAATAGTATGACGACTTCGCGAAAGATGAACAATATCCATAAGAGTAATGAACACAAGTAGGTATATCATAATTATAAGAGAGTAATGAAACATTAAAAGCGCTAGCCAATATAAAATGACTGGACAAAAATAAGAATTTAGGATAAATGTATAATGGAAAAATTAATTGACTTTATATTGAGATAAAAAGAGTGAATGGTTCATATTAAAGGGTAATCAAAATGAATCTTTTATTTCTCATATCAGAATAACGAAGAAAGTACCGAATAGTAACGATTGAAATCGGAAATATTCTTTGAACGTTTTCTACGTGTTTTTCAACAACAAAAAAAGATATTGGATTCATGAAAAAAAATCAATGCACGCGAGTTAGAATAATATTTCATAAACATATGTAAATTCAAATTATGAACATTTTCTTTACCATCTTACGCTTCATTAATATTTAGCGAAACATAAAAAAGAAACGATTATTATTAGAGTTTAATTAGTCATAAACTACTAGAACCGGTACATTATATGACTAAGAGAAGACAGAAATATGGCGACTTGAATATCTTTAACAGAGAAATATACATAGATGTACATGCTCTGGGAAGGGTTTGGAACTAATATAAATAAACACTGTCAGGAATAACATTCCTTCTACTTGTTTTGTCTTTTGATTTGTGACTTGGAGGGTTCCAGCGTTCGACTGCTCAAGTATTGTGCGATAGACTAAGAATTCTAAGTTCGAGATATAACAACTGGCAACGGGTAAAAAAATAGCTTTAACTTCCGATCAATTTCGGTTGCTAATCCAGAGATAAGAGAAGCGTTTTAAAAAGAGTCAGTTGGATTTCATTGACAAGTTACATGCGAAGCTGCTGAATCACCCATGCTTTGGGGGTGCAACGGAAGTTGACGCTTTGATTTCTAAATAGCGTACAGAACTGGAAATCGATTGCAGAACAAATGAATATGCAGAGGAAAGCCTCAATGAATCCGCGAAAAACAGTAATTTAAATGCAGCAGTAGCAGTCCTACATGATCAGCCCGGTAGTCCAGTATTATCTGTTTCAGAGGCATGCCCTATACGTGGCTCAAATCCTACTATCCCTGAAACAAAACGTGCGAACAATGAATCGTCCAGTCCACAGAAAGACAGTATCTTATTAAGCGCCCATAAAATTGCTGCAGTACCCGCCCATGAAGAAACGGGAGACAAATCGAGCAGTATATTGAATACAGTGGCGCCAAATGAAACTAATCATGATACGAAAAATGTTTCTAATGAATCTAATGATCAAAATTCTGTAATTGTTCTGCCAGATCCCGATTATTTTGCTGATTCATATGTTCCAGTTCAAATCTCTTATCAAAATGGGAGAAAAATATCGGATGCATTATATGATAATCAAGAATCCAATACAACTTTCATAGATACTGATTATTTTAATGATTCATTATCTACTAATGAGGTTCCGAGTAAATTCAAGGAAACTGTTTCAGAAGAATCAGACGCTGGTGACCTCAAATCGAATGTCGTCGATCCTCACGATCTAATCAGTTCTGGTGGATTCTCTGTTAAATACGACGAATATGTTTTAAATAATGTCACAATAATGGTAACTTGGGTACATGAGGACCCAACAATCTTTCGTGGGGGAGGATGAATTCGAGAAATTTAAAATCCGAATGTCAACTCCGGATTTCTCAAAAAGGGGAGGTGTTATATCCCCTGGTGAATTATGAATGGTAAATCTGAGGTCTATTATCGACCAATGTATTATGCCTATTTCTTATTGTACAGTTGTTACGTAACTAAGTTATTCATATTCGTGTTTCCTCTTATCATTAGCTTTATTTTGATCTTTGATTTATTATCATACGATTCTTGAGTTATATTCAGTTTATTGATTACTTTAGTTTGTATAAAAACCCAGTATGTTTGTAAATAATGATTCATACCACTGAGGCTGTTATTGGTGTTTTGGACTTAACTGGTTAGGCTAGGCAGATAGGAAGGACCGATACGCAATCAAGACTGCTCGTACGATTTCAAGCATCATCATTGTGCCGATCAGTAAAATCCACTACCTCTCCAATTGCACGTTCCTATAAATTACGGGCCCATACGATATAACAGTGTGACTTTAAACTGGTTAGACTATGGAAAGCGAAATGCTTAGATGTACCAAACGGCTTTTTTTCTATTCGGAGTCGTATCAACGTACAGGGAGATAATAGGATATAAGCTGGAATACAGAAGATGGAGATGTCATTTATAACTAATGTGACTTTGTTAACGGTTAGGTATTTGTAAACCCACAAAAAAACGAATAAATACAATAATAGTTAATTTCTTAGCATTAACTTTGACAATTCAACATCGAAGACATGTAGTGGTAGGAGAATTATGTGCTTGACTAATGTATTTTTGTGTAAAATGGAATTGTCGAGTGTAAGATTTTAATGATGGAAGGAAACCACAAGATGACAGCATGAAAGTAAACAAATACTTAATAAAAGTAGGAAATAATCATCTTAGTCATAAAAAATCTAACTTAATTATAGTAGATATTAGTGATTAAGATAATTAATGATATAAATGGATTAATTAGTTATCATATTTTGTGTCTTAATACTCTATAACTAGTTTTCTTTATCAAGTTAACCTCTTGACCTATTTTATTATAATATTTGCCAATTTGATTTTTATGTTATACTAATTCAAAGTAGAGCAATTTGAATCGATTCAACCATATACTGATTTCTATGTTGTTCTCGTCACTTAATATCATGTGTACAAAGGAATTTTGTTGGTTTGGAGTTAGAGAATGGAAACATGATCCGGAACAGCTTTCATTTAAAAAAATTTGTTCATACGTCGTCTATTAAAAGAAACGGTAAAGTAATTAGGAATATACAGTAAGTTCACAGTATTTAATTCAACAATTAAATAGGACATAAAAATCTATTGTTTTTGGCTGTATTAACCATTAACTCTTTGTTGAAAAGTGTACTAGTTAAATCTCATGAGTAATAAGAAACTTGACAAAAAACCCGTATTTAAGCAGGTAAAAGAATAATAAACAACATTAGTAATGAAATCACTATATTCATTCTCATTCATAATTTGCTATACTAAAGTAAGCT